TAGTTACATTTAACGTTCATAAAACAAGTTAGTTCGTGTTCTCACTTACGTTATAGCAGCTATGTATATACAGTCACCAGAAGCATTTTTTCCTCTAATAGTATTCCCATTTCATTTACAGATTTATTAACTTAATGCACATTATGTCTTTTGCATATTATTTATTTTGCTCTTTTTACTTTTCAACTGTGCTGCATGTTGTAATTTATGCATTTACGCTATGATGAATTTCCGTTTTGTGGGACTGCAAACATCAAATGTATATTTTTTATGGAAATTTGAAGAATACGAACAAGTGAAATTCATTCTGAGAGCCCTGCTAGATAGCGCAGGGACACAATTAATTCATGCATTCATTAAAGCACCAAGGCACCAGTTATCAACACCAGGAGAAATAGGAAGACGCTTAAAAAAGTGCCTCATGATTTTTATTATCATTACTGAAGCGGAACCTTCAAAACATCACGCATGTTTATCAGAAGGTCTGGTAGCTGAAGCGATCTCTGAGCTCTGATCCATGGTTTATTACGTTTGAGTAAAGTGAGGCAGGTCGGGTTATGAGCCGTCTGTCTTTACTGATGCCCTTAGAGACAAGGAGATGGATTACTAACCACGAGTGTTAACTTCTCTGTGTTTCTCTTTCCCTCTGATAAAAAAACATGAAAAAGTAATCTACATCCATAACCACGCTCATGTAACAATTCTGCATTTTAATATGGCTCTCTGTGTGTGTGTGTGTGTGTGTGTGTGTGTGTGTGTGTGTGTGTGTGTGTGTGTGTGTGTGTGTGTGTGTGTGTGTGTGTGTGTGTCTCAGGAGAACCATACGATGACCCTATTATCATTGAGGAGCGGATATTGGTGTATCTGATACCACACACACACACACACACACACACACACACACACACACACACACACACACACACACATATAGCATCACTGGCAAACAGGACACAGTAAATTCAGAGCCACAGCAAGTCATGACAGGCATTTACATAAACAGCACACCCACACACACATGCACACACACACACACACACACACACACTGAAAAATCTCAGTGATCTCAGTGGCATTGATTGTGGCTTGGCTGTTGGTGCTAGTTTGAGTATTTCAGAAACTGTTTATCTCCTGGGATTTTCACACATCTCTAGAACTGTGCGAATAAATAAATAAATAAATAAATAAATAAATAACTAGCAAGCAGATGTCCTGTTGGTGGAAATGTTTGGTTGATGAGAGAGGGATGAAGATTGTTTCAAGCAGACAGGAAGGCTACGGTAACTCAAGTAATCACTCTTTACAAACGTGGTGAGCAGAAAAGCATCTCAGAATGCACAACACACCCAGTCTTGAGGGAGGTGAGCTACAACAGCAGATGACCACATCGGATTTCATTCCTGTCAGCCAAGAACAGGAATCTGAGGCTACTGGACTCTTCACCCAAACTGGACTGTTGAAGATCGGAGAAAGACGAGGCGCTGCTATGACCAGGCCATATGATCAGCAGGAGCTACCATAATGTATGCTTTGCTAATTGTCACAATTAGGAAAAAGGTATCAACATTTTGGTTTTGCTGTAAAGCTGCTAGCTTAATGATGCTATTTAAAAAAAAAAAAAACATGCAGTCACGTTTTATGAATCTTGCTCGTTTTATCACAAGAGCCTGCATCTCAAATTCTTCAACAAACAGCACAGTAAGTACAAACTGTGTGTAGAAAGTAGAACAAAATAATTGTGAAAATGCTTTCAGTGTAAAACTACAGGAAGAAGCGTGACTTTAAAGGGCGTGCCACTTACAAGCTGAAAAGTGCACGGGCTACAAGTACACGTTGACACACATATATACTGCACATGGGCTAGAATTTAATTTCACAGGTTTTATCTTGTAGAATTAATTAAACTAACAACCCCAAACAGTATAAAGTGCAAAGTATACGTATATTTGTCCCTATGCTTATAATTACTTACATATCCTTATTATGAGAATTTGTGGGATTCATTTGGCAAAATTTTCCACCATCCATATATCCATTTTTGCGCCCAACAGAAATGTAGATTAAATATTACAGTATTACAGAACAAGAAGTTAATCTTGTTAAGTCAATACACTGACAGAATCGCATTTTAAACATTGCTGCTGTTTGGTATTGGCGTGACGTAATTATTGTATGTGATGTAAAATATATGTATTATAATATTATTATATTATTATAAAGCATTTATTTTAATACCATATTAGCGCAGTAATATTCTCTGTTAGTGCTGCTATGTCTGATTTTAAAATAAAACATAAAAATGAGTAAACACACAGGCACACACACACACACACACACA